TAAATTTGAAATAATATTTTGGAATTAATTATAAAGAATCCTTCCCGTGGGAAAATGCTTTAATTTTGAATTTTAAAAAAACTTTAATAATTGGACACTAAAGGGAACTAGAAGGGACTAAAGATTACAAATAAAGGAGAAGAACACTCAAACTTGATTTACAAATACAGAATAAAGCAAAATGTTTTAACATTGAACATACTGAAGGATATTTTTGAACAACCCACCTAGAAGTTAATTTTAAGAGTGTCTGCCTCTATAGATAGACTGCATTTAAAATATGTTATGGAAGAGGAACAAGTTTTACCTGACAAGATTGAGACTGATTTGAAAGTAGATTTTAAAATAACAGGCTATAAGAACAAAATGGAAAAAGATGTTACACTGGATGTACAAAAGAAACTGGCTGATGTTTTAATAATTAAAGAGATATACAAATAACAAACCAAGAGAGTGAGCTGGATAATTTTCCTATATTGGATTTACAAAAGAGGCTTATTAAAGCTTTGAAGAATTTTATGAGAAGGAACAAAGAAAAAACAAAAATAAATCAAGTTCTAGGACATTATTTGAAGGGGCTAAAGATCAAGATTATTAGAAGTAAAAGGAAGGAATATAAAGTGGGTTTATTTAAGCAAGGTTAAAATAGATATTTTGTTACCTCTGGTAACCCTTAATGGACTTTTGCTGATATCAGGACTGAAATGACAAGGCTTTATGGATTTGTTTATAGATAAGAGATTGGATACAGAAAGAAGACATCATTTGTTGTATTTTAAGAGGAGGTGATAAGTTACTAAAATTGTTTATACTTGTGATGAAGGGGGGAGTCATTTCTTTATATATTTCTTTTTGTTTTCTTTACTATATTCTATTTTTTTCTTTCATTTCTGTTTTTCTTTCTATTTTTTCCTCTTTTTTCCCTTTCTGCACCTTCTATTTTTTCTTTTTCTTTTATTTTTTTTAGTTTGTATTATTTTTTTTTGTTGTAATAATAATTTTTAATAATTACTATTAAAAAAATCACAAACTGAAATTAAACCAGTGTAACCACAGAGAGGAGTTGTTTCTCAATGAATATGATTAAGATTATCAAACCTCTAGATGTTATATTATCAGTATCAAGACATTCAACTGATAATTTGGTTGCGTGACAATGTAATTAACTGCTTGCTTGCTGTAACCTTTACTATCCTGTATACAGGCTTACAAAGAAATATTTGGCCCTATGTTAGGTAAAATGGAATAATATAAGGAAATTATTTGGAAAAAAGATAATTATTTGTTACAGTATTCAATAAAGTAAACACTAGCTTATAAAAACTGAGGCATCATTTTGCTTCATGGTATATGTGGAAGCTATAAAGAGTTTATCAAAGTATTTAAGTTCAGTAGGGCTTAAAATACAGTAGTACAAACGTTGATACATGTTAACTTTTTATTTTTATTTTGATTAAACTTCAGGCACAGTTTTGGGTTCAAGTTATGAGAGATTTGCGAAATGGTGTAAAACTTAAGAAAGTTCAAGAACGTCAATACAACCCTCTTCCCATAGAATATCAGCTCACTCCATATGAAATGCTAATGGATGATATCCGATCCAAGCGCTATACATTAAGAAAGGTTATGGTAAGCTCTGTCAAAATCAATTTTATGATTCTTCACATAGCCATAAATTATGTTAGGACTACCAAAAGGAAAAAAGGGAACTATTCTAGTTAATTTGAAAAACTAATGTCTTGTGGAGGGGTTTTATTTTGCTTTGTTTAGCTTTTGCCCTTAGAATATTAGAATCTTAGCTAAATCCCAAGCTGTTTTTGAGAATCTCTTCAATTTCAATAGTGGTTGCTATGTTATGAGATCTGCTGTTTGGAAGGGGCAAGGACCATATTTCTTTAGACGTGTAAAACTAGGCGCATTCTTGCACAGTATCATATGGATTTAACAAAAATTACCAACCTGTTCAGCATGAACACTAGTTTATAAAAATTGAAGTTCATTTTGCTTCATGGTATATGTGAAAGCTATAAATACTTTATGAAAGAATTTGGATAGCTTCTTGTTCTCTTCCTATGACCATTGAGCACAGGACCTGGATAGTTCCTAAAGCCTATATATTCCTATATATATATAGTCTATATTCCTTGTATATAGTTATTTAAAGTGCAAACATCCATGAATTCAATTCCCAGTAGAGGTTTTGAACGCCACAGAATAACATCTGACTAACTATATTTGACAGGTCCCAAATAGGATCTAACTGGTTACATAGTGCCTGCCTCCTGGTGGTCAGTGTGATGCACTTCAGTACCGTAATCACAATTCTAGAATTCATTGCCCTTTTGGATGTGCTGATGTGCAAGCAAAATAGTAGATATTTTTCTACCTCTCTTTTAGGTCAATGGGGATATCCCTCCACGGTTAAAAAAGAGTGCCCATGAAATCATCTTGGACTTTATCCGGTCGCGACCTCCGTTAAATCCTGTATGTAATACAACCAGGGCGGGGGTGGGGGGGAGTGGTAATGAAAATATGAGATTTTATATATTTTGTTTGCTTTAACTACTTTGTATTATAGCTTTCTTCTATCATTACTCCCGGTGTTGTTTAGAATACAGGAAACACTGCTTTTTTCTTATATATTGATTGATTGATTAAACCTGTATGGCACCTAACGTTT